GTGTATGTGTATGCATATGTATATATACGTTTTATATATTTATATGCGTATATATATATATGCGTATATATATATATATATATATATATATATATATATATATATATATATATATATATATATATATATATATATATATATATATATATATATATATATATATATATATATATATATATATATATATATATATTTATAAATTACATATTTTTTTATATTTATAAAATACATATTTATTGTGTGTGTTTATCTCATGTAGGTGTTGGAGTGCACACACACACGCAACACATACACACACACGCACACACACACACATATATATATATATATATATATAATGACTTGAAAAGGCACATAGATATTTTTTTAATTTTTTTTCCTTTAGAATTCTTGCAACCAACACTTCTTCAGAAGGAATCCTTTGCTATAAATGAGACGAGACAAAAGACGATATTCACGAAAACCAAAATAGTAAATGAGGAGGGGAAATTTCGGAACACGGCTAAAAACAATTTATTAGTAAAATAATTCACGAATAAAAAGGTAAATGCTCCATGTGAGTATTAAAAATGAAAAAGTGTTACTCAGACTCTGCAACTAAACGTAATGAACGTATAAAATGCACTTTTTGCTTACACAGGTCTGGTTTGTGCATCTTAATGTAAACCGCTTCGAGAATCTTTAAATGATGAGCGGACCGTGATTTGTGTAGTATAGTGAAAAAAATCATTATATTTATTCAGTGTTGTCTAACAGGTTGTTTAACCTCTTGCTGAACCATGTACCAGCTGTTTTGTTCACACACACACACACACATATATATATATATATATATACACCTAGTGAGCCAAACTTTCCTGACGATCCGTTTAGGTGAAACCTAGGTAGGTTTGTCTGGCTCACTAGGTGTATCTAGGTCTGCTCTACGGTTGTATTGAGCTCTTTTTGTTGGTTAGTTGTTACTCGTATCAGGGTTTTTCTTTGGGCTTCAGACCTGCATCTGTGCGATTTTTGTCGGCAGAAGTTTATGTTTGTAGCTCTTCTTTTTTTAAAACCTTTTTCCCTCGAAATTGATTTGATTAACAAATCAAAAATTCGAGGGTTTTCGAAACGAGTCTAGTTATTTATATTTTATATATATATATATATATATATATATATATTATATATATATATATTGTATGTGAAAAATATATAGAAAATAGGAAGGAACTGGTTAGGTAAATAATCCAAAGTCCCTTAGTATTTTAGTTATTATTTTTAAAAATAGTGCTCGATACAAAAAGTAGAGCATAAATATAATTATTTATTTAAAATTTGATTTACATAAGAAGTCTCATGTTTTCAAAAAAGCTACATGAAAGTCTCAATTTAATTATTTATATTAAATTATAATTATATTGAAGTTTTCGGCTCTTGTTTTGAAACATGCGACTTCTTATGTAGCGTTTTGGAATCATATTTTTAAATAAATAATTATATATATATATATTGTGTACATCTGCATATGCAAGTTTACGCATATATAATCAGGTGTCTGTGTGTATGATTTTGTGCCGGGATATGATTTTTAAAAAATATTTTTATATATTAGGTATATTAATAAATCTGTACCTTAACGACGACAAAGCATTTATTTTACATAAATATTTAATTTTCAACTTTCTCCACATCTTTTGCCAATTCAGCTCCCCAACATTTCCCCATTAATCATATAGACAGAACATGTAAAATTTGAGAAAAAAATTCAGCTAAATAATTCTCTAAGGTTACTGATCTTCTTTCATATACCCATACATACACACACACACACACACACATATATATATATATATATGCGTATTCATACATATGCAAGCAAATGATCTGTTCCCATATCTAGTACAGGCACCCCATTAACCAAATAAAATTAAATGCGTATATTCGGATGAACATAGATCCATATATGCGTGAATAAAAATGTGTACCATGTTTGCATAAATGAACTCACATTTGTGCAAACACTTGTATACACATACGATCACGCACAGTCATATGTATATGCGATGGCGTTAAATCCACACACATATACGATATCCAAAGGTAATGCCTCCAATTCATTTCCGTCTATGCAACACATAGAGGGAGTAAGATAACTTTACTGAAAGTTTTCAGCTAACAAACATTTTCCACCCAATCACTATCATTGATTATGTGCTTTCGTTACATTCATTTCATGGGTTCACTGCTGAATGATACAACTAAAACACATTAACTCCCAACTAACTGTGCTCAAATTCACCAACTGGTCTTCGTAAACACTCAATAAATGTTGATGAATATCAATTGTTGGAATTTCTCCCAAATGGGAAAATTCAGTAACACATCTCTCCTTCGTACGCACTTTCGAAGCGAACCTCGTGCCTATATATATATATATATATATATATATATGATAATTTTTCATACAGACAGAAACAATTGACTCATAACAAAAATGCAACTTCGTTTCGGTGCATGTAGTTGCACCTCTACTGGTGAGAATCAAAATGTTTATGAACAATTCTGTTTTAAGCAGACCACGCATATACCTATTTTTTTTCAAACAAATAGAAAAAACGAAGTGATGTTCCACTTGCGACCTGCTATCGGTATTGAGCCCTCTTTTGAATTAATGCTGTGAACCTTAGAATTTATATGTTATTTTCGTTCTCATTACATTCATATATATATATATATATATATATATATATATATATATATATCTGATAGAATAAAGAACAAAGAGGAAACGTTTATCAATGTAACATGTTACACATTTATTAAAGCTTCATCGGAGAATAATCTATTATTTTTATTTTATTTTAATTAAAAGTGAAACATGTTAGATTGATAAACGTTTTCTGTTTGTACTTTATCCTGTCATATATATATATATATATATATATATATATATGTATATATATATATATATATATATCGATCAATCGTATTCCGATCCATATTTGATCCCAATTCATCTATCTCATTCTCTCTCTTTATATATATATATATATATATATATATATATATATATATATAATTAAAGCAAAAATATGGTCTAAGTATGCTTATTATAATATGTAAAATAGATAGGTTAGTAAGGTTAGTTAATAAAGCAAGTACAAACGAATGGGTACCGATATAATTAGTACGATAAACATTTATTAAATATTGACCAACATGATAAAAATGAAGCAGGGAGAGAAAAGTTTTATGTTTGTAATTTTCGGACACGCCTAAGTCCTTTATCCACGGACAGAGGAACAAACAGTGAAATGGTAATTACTAACAGACAGATGTTTTTGTAGGTGGTGTATTTTCCAGTGGAAATCGTATTATCAGCAAAAAACAAACCTCTGTCTCATATCGTTCTGTCGCATTTCGATATATATTTGATCTGTATTTGATCCCAATCTATCTATCTATCTATCTATGTACTAGCAGCATGGCCCGGCGTTGCCCGTGCTTGATTAAAAAATCGTACGACTCATACAGCAATCGCTATCACTTGACTTAAAATATCTTTGTCCTTCCTTGCCTTTAAAAGAGTGCACTTTTCCGTGCTGATGTTGCTACATGCCTTACTTCTTGCCTATCTCACACTGCGAATTTTTTCTAAGCTTTATACTAAACATTAAATCTGTTACGAAAAAAGAACTAAACAAAATGAACACAAAACGATCAGCTTTAAAAAAGACTCGTAACTGGAAAAACCGAATGAAAAAAGAATGTTAACAACAAATACCTTTTCACACTCAACCCAGTTCTGCGGAATCAGAATCAACGTTGAGTTTAAGCAAGCAAATGAGCCAATTAGAGTAAAGTGCCATGCAGATTTAAATTTTTCCCACTTGTGACGAATGCTGCTATCGATTTTTTTTGCATGCTAGCATGCTAGTTAACATTCGTGTCAGTCAGCTGTTGGCTCTCACGCTGACCAATAGAATCTTCCTGCCTATTCGTGGGAGCCAGCTATAGGCTCTCACTCTGGCCAGTGAAAATGGCCGCAAAATACATGAAAACTACCTAAGAAGCATGAAAAAATCGATTATTTCCACTATCGATGGGAGTTGGGAAATGCAAAGTCGGTCTTGGCCTTTCCACTAACTTGGAGCATGTGCATGCAAATTTTGGTGCAAATCCGTCAAAAATTACGGCCGTGCATTCGTTACACACACACACGCACACACACACATATCCTGCCTTTTATATATATATATATATATATATATATATATATATATATATATATATATATATATATATATTGAATGTTTGGGCAGCAATTCCTTTTTTCTACAAGCTTATTAGACGACTGACATGTTTCTTCGATTAAAATCTTTATTAAATTTTTCTTGTCTTCGTACATGTATTTTATTTTTGGAGCATAAAGTGTGTAAGAACTTTCCAAATTTCGCTTTCGTCTATTTTATTAGCCATTAGTGAGGGAGTTTTTTTTCAATTGAATAAAATTTTTATATGCGTATCCATTTTTATCATACTGATCCTGTTTGAAAAAAAACTTCCCATCGTTATAGACTTATATATTCAGATAAAACTATGATAATGGCTAATAGAATAACCAAGAGCGTACGGATATATAGAACATTTGGAGAGTTTTACACAACAAAATAAAATATAAAAAGCTTAATCATAATACTGTGTCAATCGTGTTTAGTAAAACAATATATATATATATATATATATATATATATATATATATATAATCCTTAAGACAGATGGTTTTTATAACTGTTTGCTATTGCGTATGCCTAAATATATTTAGTTACATACAAAATTAGTTTTATGTCAAGACATTTGTTTATATAATTAATTAAGAATCGAAGAAAAGAAGAAAGAAGGAATATTTAAAAAATAAAATAAAGAAATATAAACATTAAAATGATGACAAAGGCTTTAATGAAAGAAGGAATGATGTGTGGAAGGCAAAACTATTTGAAATTTAAGATGGAGAAAAATTAAAAAGAAAGAATTACAAAAAAGAATAAAGTATTTACTGAAAGAAAGAAAGAGAGAAGGAAGGAAGGAAGAAAAGAAAGAATGAAGGAATGAAGGAAAGAAGGAAAGAAGGAAGGAAGAAAAGAAAGAATGAAGGAATGAAGGAAAGAAGGAAAGAAGGAAGGAAGAAAAGAAAGAATGAAGGAATGAAGGAAAGAAGGAAGAAAAGAAAGAATGAAGGAATGAAGGAAGGAAGGGAAAAGAAAGAATGAAGAATGAAGAAGGAAAAAAAGAATGAAGGAATGAAGGAAGGAAGAAAAGAAAGAATGAAGGAATGAAGGAAGGAAGAAAAGAAAGAATGAAGGAATGAAGGAAGGAAGGAAGAAAAGAAAGAATGAAGGAATGAAGGAGAGAAGGAAGGAAGAAAAGAAAGAATGAAGGAATGAAGGAAAGAAGGAAGGAAGAAAAGAAAGAATAAAGGAATGAAGGAAGGAAGAAAAGAAGGAATGAAGAAAAGAAAGAATGAAGGAATGAAGGAAAGAAGGAAGGAAGAAAAGAAAGAATGAAGGAATGAAGGAAAGAAGGAAGGAAGAAAAGAAAGAATGAAGGAATGAAGGAAGGAAGAAAAGAAAGAATGAAGGAATGAAGGAAAGAAGGAAGGAAGAAAAGAAAGAATGAAGGAATGAAGGAATGAAGGAAAGAAGGAAGAAAAGAAAGAATGAAGGAATAAAGGAAAGAAGGAAAGAAGAAAAGAAAGAATGAAGGAATGAAGGAAAGAAGGAAGGAATGAAGGAAAGAAGGAAGGAAGAAAAGAAAGAATGAAGGAATGAAGGAAAGAAGGAAGGAAGAAAAGAAAGAATGAAGGAATGAAGGAAAGAAGGAAGGAAGAAAAGAAAGAATGAAGGAATGAAGGAAAAGAAGGAAGGAAGAAAAAGAAAAGAATGAAGGAATGAAGGAAAAGAAGGAAGGAAGAAAAAAGAAAGAATGAAGGAATGAAGGAAAGAAGGAAGGAATGAAGGAAAGAAGGAAGGAAGAAAAGAAAGAATGAAGGAATGAAGGAAAGAAGGAAGGAAGAAAAGACAGAATGAAGAAATGAAGGAAAGAAGGAAGGAAGAAAAGAAAGAATGAAGGAATGAAGGAATGAAGGAAAGAAGGAAGGAAGAAAAGAAAGAATGAAGGAATAAAGGAAAGAAGGAAGGAAGAAAAGAAAGAATGAAGGAATGAAGGAAAGAAGGAAGGAATGAAGGAAAGAAGGAAGGAAGAAAAGAAAGAATGAAGGAATGAAGGAAAGAAGGAAGGAAGAAAAGAAAGAATGAAGGAATGAAGGAAAGAAGGAAGGAAGAAAAGAAAGAATGAAGGAATGAAGGAAAGAAGGAAGGAAGAAAAGAAAGAATGAAGGAATGAAGGAAAGAAGGAAGGAATGAAGGAAAGAAGGAAGGAAGAAAAGACAGAATGAAGAAATGAAGGAAAGAAGGAAGGAAGAAAAGAAAGAATGAAGGAATGAAGGAAAGAAGGAAGGAAGAAAAGAAAGAATGAAGGAATAAAGGAAAGAAGGAGGGAAGAAAAGAAATGAAAGGAATGAAAGGAAGGAAGAAAAAAAAAGGAATGAAGAAAAAAAGAAAAGAATGAAGGAATGAAGGAAAAAGAAGGAATGAAGAAAAGAAAGAATGAAGGAATAAAGGAAGGAAGAAAAGAAAGAATGAAGGAATGAAGGAAAGAAGGAAGGAAGAAAAGAAAGAATGAAGGAATGAAGGAATGAAGGTAAGAAGGAAGGAAAGAATGAAGGAATGAAGGAAAGAAGGAAGGAATGAAGGAAAGAAGGAAGGAAGAAAAGAAAGAATGAAGGAATGAAGGAAAGAAGGAAGGAAGAAAAGAAAGAATGAAGGAATGATGGAATGAAGGAAAGAAGGAAGGAAGAAAAGAAAGAATGAAGGAATGATGGAATGAAGGAAAGAAGGAAGGAAGAAAAGAAAGAATGAAGGAATGAAGGAAAGAAGGAAGGAAGAAAAGAAAGAATGAAGGAATGAAGGAATGAAGGAAAGAAGGAAGGAAAGAATGAAGGAATGAAGGAAAGAAGGAAGGAATGAAGGAAAGAAGGAAGGAAGAAAAGAAAGAATGAAGGAATGAAGGAAAGAAGGAAGGAAGAAAAGAAAGAATGAAGGAATGAAGGAAAGAAGGAAGGAAGAAAAGAAAGAATGAAGGAATGAAGGAAAGAAGGAAGGAATGAAGGAAAGAAGGAAGGAAGAAAAGAAAGAATGAAGGAATGAAGGAAAGAAGGAAGGAAGAAAAGACAGAATGAAGAAATGAAGGAAAGAAGGAAGGAAGAAAAGAAAGAATGAAGGAATGAAGGAAAGAAGGAAGGAAGAAAAGAAAGAATGAAGGAATGAAGGAATGAAGGAAGGAAGAAAAGAAAGAATGAAGGAATGAAGGAAAGAAGGAAGGAAGAAAAGAAAGAATGAAGGAAGGAAGAAAAGAAAGAAGGAAGGATGGAAGGAAAGAAGGAAGGAAGAAAAGAAAGAATGAAGGAATGAAGGAAAGAAGGAAGGAAGAAAAGAAAGAATGAAGGAATGAAGGAAAGAAGGAAGGAAGAAAAGAAAGAAGGAAGGATGGAAGGAAAGAAGGAAGGAAGAAAAGAAAGAATGAAGGAATGAAGGAAAGAAGGAAGGAAGAAAAGAAAGAATGAAGGAATGAAAGAAAGAAGGAAGGAAGAATAGAAAGAATGAAGGAATGAAGGAAAGAAGGAAGGAAGAAAAGAAAGAAGGAAGGATGGAAGGAAAGAAGGAAGGAAGAAAAGAAAGAATGAAGGTATGAAGGAAAGAAGGAAGGATGGAAGGAATGTGGCAAAAAGGAAAAGTCTAAACGAAATCTCATGCAAGATTAAAAAAGAATTGAAAATAAAGAAAATGTTTTAATGAAATATGTGGGGAACTGCTTTAACATGGACAACTGTTAGAGGCTCGCAGTCATTTAAAGACATGAAAAAAGATAGAATAAAGAAAAATAATTTGGATGAAGACTGAAAGAGGATAAAAAAGGACAGAAATATTCGAAAAGAGAAAGAAACTGCGAAGCACATAAGAACGATATGTTTTTGAAGGGCAAAACTTCTAAAATATTATTTGCTTAATTCATTGAATCCAGAAACGGACACCACGTCCCTTGAATTCCATCTTATTACATTATTTTCTCTTTGATGTAATTAGGATTTACATAGAAAAAATCTTCAGCAACCCTAAATCGAATTTCTTGAACTTTTAAAAATTTCGTTTGTCTGGAATCATTCTGTAGAATCTATTACCGTTTTTAAAGACTCAGGTGATTAAGTCTTGGTGTATGTTCGCTGTGGCACTTGGAAACAAGCCATCCAGATATTTGTTGTTTCCTTTGCGAAGGATTCCAAATATGATTTAATCCAGAGAAAAATCAATAAAATAAAAATATTTTTGATGCAAGATTGCAGTATGAGTGTTTCATTAAAAGCAAAAGTGTTGTCTGTGAAATATCTGGACGCTGAGAATATATTTTGACCATAATGAGTAATATAAAGTTCTGTAATTTTTGGTCATTTGTACTGCAGATGATGCACGATATACTCATAAATTTCAGCGGGTTTTCATCATACAGGAGTAAGGAAAGTTAAAATTGTGCCATGTTTTTGCGTTATAAAACAGCGTTAAAATATAGTTTTAATGTATGGTATACTTATAGATATACTCGTAAGTATACTCTATTCGGAATAGAGCGTGTGTAAATATAAATAAAAAGGAAGAGGAGAAGCAGAAGAAGAAGAGAGGAAAGTGTGAAAATGAAAGAGAAAGTAAAAGAAAAAGGGAAAATAGTCGAAAAAGAAGCAAGAATAGCGAAACACAAATGTTGAGACAAAGAAGAAAGGAGAAAGCGAAAAAGATAAAAGGGAAAGAGGGAGACGGTGATCTTAAATTTACACTTTTTCCCAATTAATGAAAGCTGACCTCATGCCTTTCTTGTCATTTCAATGAAAGAGTTTAACGCTCAAATTATCAAGAGGGATAACTACTGTTTATAACAAGCACGTGTAGAAAATTTGCCATGAAAAGACAACCAAAACATGTTCTTCAGTTTTGTTAATTTTTTCTTTGTTTAAATATTTTAGAATCTGGATCAGTCAAAACAAAATTTACCTGAGAGATTTATGATCGCATCAATTAGTTTATAAAGACGAACTCATATGGATTTTTCAAATCGAATTCAAATCTGTTTTGAATACAATATTTTCTAATTTAAATAAAAAACCGGTGTAAGCTACGATTGGCATAAGGCTACATTTTTCAGGATCTTGAAAAGTAAGAACAAGTAATGACCTAAATACCAAATCTAAGGCACTTGCCCTGAAGTTATTTTTAACTGTGTATTGAACACATTTTAGGGTTACTGCTTACATCTTTGGATTTTTACGTGCAGCTAGTCAGAACTTCAGGATTTCAGTAGTTGGCCCTAAGACGATGGCATGGTTTCAAAATAATTTTGAAAAGTTTTCTAATCTTGTTACAGGGGATTACTGAGGCTTATGTGAGAAAATCTGTCTTTCTACAACGACTGCTGGAGAAAGTTTGGAAGCACTCTGCCACTTTCCTTTTGCGCTTCCTTTGGTTTCATACTTCGTGGAAGGTTGCATGATAGACTATGTATCACCATATTAGCTACCTCTCATTTCGACTGACAGTGGTTGAATTCACAAGATAGGAGGACTTTTTTCAAAGAGTCTTTATAGCTTTCCATTGGAGTCCTACTTCCCCGTCAGCCAGAGACTAGTTCCCTGAACAGCAGAGAGTCCCACATCCTCGCAGAGGAGTCTGCCCATTGCAGTTAAATGTTTTAAAATATAACTTCAATGCTTGTGACCATAACTGACTCTCTCTCTCTCTCTCTCTCTCTCTCTACGCAAGCAGCAGCAGCAGCCGTTGCCGTCGTCATCGCAGGCACCACATTCGTCATCTTCGCCAGCAGTAGCAGCCGTAGCCGTCATCGTCGCAACCACTCTGCCTTCGTCCTCATCATCACCAGCGGACCCGCGATTGACCAGCCTCCGACTTCGTTCTCAGGAACACCAGCGGACCCACAACCTGCCAGCAACTCTGCTTTCGTCCATTCAACCAGATTACCCGACCAGAAGCCTGCCTGATCCAGGGACAACTTTTACCTCATCTCCAACACTACGCAGGATAAAATTTGTCGTGCCGAAATAAAATTTGGCATATAACTTAATGTTGAAGCTTGAATAAGCATGGAATAATAATAATACAACACAAAATGTACGTAACAAAATGTATTGAAACAATGAAAAAAGGTACACAATATTTACAGGTAGTTTTGGTATATTCTTGGGAAGACTGTTCCTGCAGAATGGGTTGACTAAGTCGCAGTCGGGCAGAGTCTCTGGATTCGATCTCTTAATCTTCCGTCGTCTTCCGGTACCAACCCATATTTATATGGTCGGTACTCCACTTATGTAAATTAGGTGTATCATACACAACACCCTCCTCCCAAGCCTTGGAATCCCTTTTGGATTTCAAATTGGCTTCCTATATGGGTTGATGATTATGGCTATTTCTTTGTAGATCCATTTGCCTAATTTTAATATTTTTTCCGTTTTGGATTCATGTTCAATGGGTCCGTCAACTTCCGTTTCCTACCGGATCTTCTTGGTTCAGGTGTATTCTGTGGAGGTTCTACCTGAAACATATCATACATTATATCAATGGGATCTTCGTCCTCATCCGGTATACACACTTCTTGCTCTATACCGTAATCTTTTTTAAGTTGGTTTTGGTGCCTTTTATAAGTATTCTTCGGCCCTTTAATTATGTAAATCAGGTCACCGATTCTCTTGTCCACTATGCCTCGTTCCCAGAACTCAACGTTGTTTTTATAGCACTTGAAAAACACCTTCTCTCCGGGAGTGTATCTTTTTCTCGCTGTATACATGGTATTTTTTACTGTATTTTTTCCTGGCAAAAGCTTGTCAAACACTGACTTAACTTTCCTAGCGAACATTAGTTCAGCTGGTGCCATGTTTGAGTGTGTTCTCTGGTTTGGCGTGATTCTGTATACTTGTAAGAATTGCTGAAGCGCCTTTTCCGTTGGAACTCCTGAGGCTTTCTTCAGAGCACGCTTTAAAGTATCGACAAATCTTTCTGCGAGTCCATTAGACCTCGGATGATACGGAGGCCTCGTTATGTGGTTAATTTGATATAACTCACAAAATTCCTTAAATTCTTCAGAAGTGAATGTGTACCATTGTCACCATAATACACTCTGGCACACCGAACCGTGCAAATAGTTCATGCAAAAATTCATGTTGTTGTGGTATTGGACGTAGGCTTTTTACAGCGTAGTACTTCCGGCCATTTTGTAAAACTATCTACCACTATTAAGTAGTAAAAATCTTCTACTGGACCAGCGAAATCAATGTGTAATCTTGTCCACGGATGATCCGTCTTGGGCCATGGTTTGTATACTATAGGTGGTGCCTTAGCTGCTAACGCACACCCTTACATCGATGAACCATGTTTTCGATATTCACATCCATTCCTTTCCAATACACAAAGCTTCGCATTGAGCTTTTGTTCTATTAATACCAGGTGACCCATATGAAAGTCCCGAAGTATTCTTTTCTGCAACTTTTTTGGTATTACTACTCTCTCACCATATAATAAAACTCCGTCACCTATTGAATAAATCTCCTGCACTTTTTGGTCATTCGCTACCATTTTGTTTTTTTAATTTCTAAATGAAATCATCGCTTTCAGCTTCTTTTTTAATTTCATTTAGCGTAACCGGTAGCTCTCTTACAATGTTGTTTACCATGCTTTTCACCTCATAATCTGCTCTGATATTTGCAATAATTGATTCTTCGAATCTTTCTTCTTGCCTCGGTACTAGTCTTGATAGACTATCCGCATGAATTATCTTTTTGGATGATAGGTGCTTTATGTGAAAATCATAATTGAGAAGAATGGTTCCCCATCTTAACAGACGATTTGCTGTATAAACGGGTAACCCTTTCTTTGAACCAAAAAATGGTGATCAGTGGTTTATGATCCGTTTCAAGGATAAAATGTCTGCCGTGGATGTACCTGTGAAATTTTGTATGGCAAAAATGATACTCAGTGCCTCTTTTTCTATCTGAGAGTAACTTCTTTCTCCTGGGAGCAAAGTTCTCGAAGCGTGTGCAATTGGTTTTCTAGAACCATCTGGCATTATGTGTTGAATACACGCTCCTATCCCGTATGAACTAGCGTCACTTGCCACTACAATATCCAGTTTTGGATTGTAATGGGTTAAAAAGAGGTCGGACGTAAGCATTTTCTTTATTTCATCAAAGGCTTTCTGACATTCTACCGTCCATTCCCATGCCTCGTCTTTTTTTAGCAGTTCATTCAACGGAGCTCTTAAATTGTACATTCCTTTAATGAACGCTTGATAATAATTTGCAAGCCCTAGAAAACTTTGTAGCATCGCCACATTAGTGGGCGTCGGCATGTCTCTAATCGCAATGGACCTTTCCGGATCTGGACATCTGCCATTTTTGTTGATTATGTGCCCTAAATACTTAATTTCCTCCAACCCAAATTCGCACTTTGACTCTTTGACTTTAAATCCAAAGTCCTGAATTTTTTTAAATACTTGATTGAGATGCTCTCGATGTTCGTCGACCGATTCGCTCCTTATTATGATGTCGTCTAAGTAAGCGCACGCAAAGTCTAAATCATTCAGCATGACGTCCATAGCTTGTTGAAAAATGGCAGGTGCCACTTTAATACCAAAAAGGAAGCCTGTTGTACTTGAATAACCCTCTATGCGTGTTTATCCTAGTAACTTCGAACATTCCTCTTCGACGGGAATTTGGAGATAGGCATCTGATAAGTCAATTTTTGAAAATATAACTCCACCATTTAGCTTGTTAAAATCTCCTCCGACTCGGTAACGGGTAATGGTAGTCCTTAATTACCGAGTTCAACCCTGTCGAAAAATCAACGCAGACTCTGACTTGGTTTGATTTCTTTTTTTTTATGCACATAATCGGCGCAGCCCACG